GGGGGGGCCCCTGTGGGGGGTTTGGGGAATCCTCGGGGGTTTGGGGGGAGGGGGGGGGAGGGACTGTGGGGTTCAGGAGCTTGGGAGATGCAGGAGATGGGATGGAGGGTTGGGGGATGGAGGGATTGGGGTGCAGGAGGGTGCTGGGGCATCCAGGTGTCCCTGCAGGAGCCAGAAGCTGCTGTTCCTCCCCCTCCACACCCCCCACAACCCTCCCCCCTCTCCAGTCAGAGCCCAGAGGATTCCCAAAGCCACCAAGTGGGTCCCTTCTCTCTGAAGCCCTGGCTTGTCCCTCATGGTATTCCCAGGCCATTTCCACGCATGCTGAGGGGCAGAACCCCCTTTCTGAGCACCCTCACTCCAATTCCTGCAGCACCCCCAACCCCTGGCACCCAGGGCTTTTTTCCCCCCACACACGTTGGTGGTGTCCCCTGTCCCCCCCCGGGCAGGGGCACAGGGCACGGGAGGGCAGGGACAGCCCGAGAGAGCTGCCCAGGGCTCGGGGGGTCTCTGAGTCCCCCACCTGCCCCCCCAGTTCTTCATCCTCGTCAGCCTCGTCTTCCTCATGCAGCTGGTGGGGGCCATTCTCTTCCTGGTGCACTGGAAGCAGGTACTGTCCCCACACCCTGGCACTGTCCCCACGCCCTGGCATTGTCCCCACACCCTGGCACTGTCCCCAGTGCCACCAGCCTCCCTCTGTCCCCCCAGGGCTCCCCCAGGGGACATGGACAGGTGCAGGGTCCTTCCTCCCCTCCCTTCGCCCCCAGCCCAGGGCCGTGTCGGGGGGTCCCATGGGTGGGTGGGTGGGGAGCGGCCCCACCCCCGGCACCGATCCCACAGGTCCGGCCCGAGCGCTTCCTGTCGGAGCTGAGGAGGAACTACCGCGGGGACGAGGGTGCTGAGGTGTTCAGCACCGCCTGGAACACCCTCATGGTCACGGTGAGCGCCCGGGGGGCTCCTGGGGCACCCCTGGAACACCTCCATGGGCATGGTAAGTGCCCGGGGGGCTCCCTGTCCACCCCCTGGACCACCCTGACGGTCCCAGTGAGCTCCTGCTGTGCTGGGGGGGTGTGGAGCACCCACAGGACCTGCCCAGGGTGCCCCAAAAGTGGGTGAGGGGCTCAGGAACACCAGCCACGACCCCCAGGCTGGGCTGTCCCCCCTCCCTTGGTCACTCCCCACGTTGTCACCCCATTGATGGAGTTTGTTCCCCCTGTTGTCACCCCACTGACAGTATTCCCTCTGTTGTCACCCCCTTGATGGTGTCCCCTCCCGTCCCAGTTCTCCTGCTGTGGCGTCCTGGGCCCCGAGGACTTTGGGAATGGCTCCCGATTCCAGGAGCTGCACCCGGGGGTGCCGTGGCCACGGGCCTGCTGTGCCCGGGATGGGCTCCTGGGGGACCTGCTGGGCTGGGAGCAGTGCCAGGACAGGAGCCCCGGCTACATCCACGAGCAGGTGGGACACCCCCGCCCCCCGTCGTGGGCTGTGTCCCTGTGCCACCCCTCCCAGCCCCGGGGGCACTGCCCATCCATGGCTCTGCATCCCAGTGCCCTCCCGAGCCCCCCCCTGAGCCCCCCAGTACCCCTGAGCCCCCCCAGCCTCTTGGTACCCCCAGGGCTGCTTCTCCACCTTCGGCAGGACCCTGCAGAGGTCCCTGTCCCTGCCCGGCTCCTGCAGCCTGGCTGTGCTGGGCATCGAGGTGAGCGCGGGGCTGGGGAGGGGGCTGGGGAGGGGGAAGCTCAGGGTGGGGCTGGGGAGGGGGCTGTGTGCCAGGGTGGCCACAGGGGGGCTGGGAAGGGGTCCGTGTTCTGTGCCCTCAGGCCCTGGTTTGGGGGGTCTTGCAGCCCCCCTGAGCAGCCCCAGCACCGCTGGCACAGACCCTGCAGGGCCCAGGCCCGCACAGGGACCCCCAGGGCAGCCCTGCTGGGGTCTCACCTGCCGCCCCCTCCCTCCCCCCAGACCTTTGCCATGTTCTTCTCCCTCTGCCTCTACTACAACTTCGACTGACGGGACACGGACACACTGGGAGCTCGGGAGCAGTCAGGGACAGGCCTGTCCTGGCTAGGAAGAGCTCTGAGCCCTTCCCAGCCTCTGGAAGTTCAGGAGCAGCCAAGGACAGGCCTGTCCTGGCTGGGAAGAGCTCTGCTCCAGCTCCGAGCCCTTCCCAGCCTTGCCCAGTCCTGTTCCTGCTCCAGGGATGGGCCTGGTTTGGGCTTTTCTGAGAGCAGGGACAGGACGGGGGAAATGCCTTGCAGGGATCTGCCATCAGCCCTCCCCCCTCTGGATCCCCTCACACTCATCCCGATGCTCCCATGCTCCTCACCCTGACATCCTGCTCTCTCCTCCACATCTACCCATTCCCAGACCCCCAGGAATCCTCTGGATTCTCCTCCTCCCCCTGGGCCAGGGCTTGTCCCTGGTGACACCTCCTGGGGCCACCACAGAGCAGAGTCACCATCCAGGTCACCCCAAATGGCCCCAACTGGAGCCCAAGGGCCACTCCAGAGAGCTGGAATTGCAAGGCTGGAGTCATTAAACTTCGATGGAAAACCGAGCCTTCCCCAGGGAAGGATTCCCACCAGCTGGTTCGGATCCAGCTCCTGCTCTCAGGTTGGAAACAGGAACTGAACTCCCTGGTGCTGTTCCCACTTCTCTGAAAGTTGGGAAGGGGAAGAGGTGTTTCCAGTTTTCTTTGGAACATCCCAAAAACTCCACCCAACAAAAGGGGAAAACATATAAATTAAAGCTTCATATTTTATTAATACAATGAAAAGTTTTCACAAAAAGAAAACCTCAAACAAACACGGAAACAGTAAAACCCAAACTGCTGCAGCCCTTTACAGGCAGGACACCTCGTACCTGAGGAAGGGGACAGGGACAATCCCAAGGGAACAAAACCCCCTCAGGAATCAGGAATCTGGGCAGGATTTCTTCTCCTTCCTGCTGATGTTGCTCCCTTTCCTCTTCTGCCCAGAGGACTCACTGCTGGGGCTCCTTTCCCCCTGGGTGCTTTTCTCTTCCAAAGGCTCGGGAGCCTGTGATGACCCAAGCAATAAAAGCAGAGAGCTGTGAATAATTGGATTTTCCAGCCCTTGGAATGCCCTGTGCTTCACCAAGTTCGTTATCCCAGGTTTTGTAGGAAGGGGGATGGCAGGGGAGCAGGATAACGATGGAGCACAGTACTGCCATGATGCTCCAGGGATCTCTTCATCCCATGCCCTTCCAACCACCACAGTTCCCTTGGGAATGGGCTCAGGGCTGGAATGCTGAGCACAGCTCCCAGGATTCACACAGGGAAGACACCCCCTCCCACAAAGGGTCTTCTCCAAATCGGGGGCAAAGAGGGAAAGCCCCCTCAGGAGAGGGAAGGCCCAGAGAGAATTGATTTTTGGGAAGGTTTGGATCTGCTGGAGTGGGATTTATTTTTTCAAGTGAGGGTGAGAGAAAAAAGGAAGAGGAGGAGGGAGGAAGGCTGCATTCCCAAGGGAATATTGAGTGGAAGAGCAGGTGGAAAAGAGCTGCAGGACACAGAGCAGAGCTGAGGAAGAAGAGGATCCCCAGGGAATGGTTTTTGTCCATCCCTCCCCCTCCTCATTAGTGAGGGAGTACATATAATTGAGAAGGGAGAATGTAATGAGCTTAACGAAGAGCATCATGAAATTAATGAAATGAATGAAAGAATAATGGAATTAAACACAGAGGCAAAGCCCATGAGAGGCAGAGCAGCAGGGGAGGCCAGAGCCAGACCCACAGGATCAGTTCTGGGAGGGAAATGGGGCAGGAGGGGCTGGGCCTCACCCTGCCCTGCCCCGCGTGTCTCTCCGTCCACTCCCGGGCCCGAAGCAGGAACAGCTGCTTGTTGTACTTGTACTCTGAGGACTGAAGGGGAAGAGCAAGACAAAGCCAGGCTTAACACAGCACATCAAGAAGCTTGGACTTAGGCCTGGCTTTAGGGCTTCTAAGCCAAGCCCAAACCCAAGGCACCAGATCTCTTGTGTTTGCCTGAAGAACTCGAGCTGCCGTTTTGCCCCGAAGGCAAAGCCTGAAGGTGAGACCTTGGCCAGCTCCTGTGGTCACCTGATCCACTGCCAGGGTGGTCATCCAAAGCTCAGCCTAAACCCCTCCCTGCCCTGCCCATGGGGAGGACTCACGATGTCAGCCATGAGAGGGTCGTCGGGGTTGGGCTCTGCCATCAGCAGCTGGATGGAGCTCAGCAGGGTGGAGATGCTCAGTGAGGGCCTCCAGGCACCCTGTGGGGAGAGGAGCCTGGCCTGAGCCCTCAGCACCCATGGGAACACCACCCCAACCCTGAGCACCCCAGCACCCACAGAAACACTACTCCAATCCTGAGCACCTCAGCACCCACAGAAACACTACTCCAATCCTGAGCACCTCAGCACCCACAGAAACACTACTCCAATCCTGAGCACCTCAGCACCCACAGAAACACTACTCCAATCCTGAGCACCTCAGCACCCACAGAAACACTACTCCAATCCTGAGCAC